GTCAGGTGCCCCCCTCAAACACATACTTAGGCCAGGCTTCTGGAGAACGCAAAACGTCTTTATCAATTATTTCCTAAGAAAACGCAATCCATTGAGGAAGGTCTTTTCAGGGTAGGTCCCCGTCATCATTGGTCAGACATTGATTGTTGGACCAGCATGGACGATGACAAGAATTCTAGCGAATAGGCGATATAGCAGTCTTGGCTACAGATTTGTATAATTTGTTTCTCCTGTCAACGTTCCTTGGACATTCCCTGGTCTCACTTTCGAACTATGCCTTCATGCAGAACTGTTTTTGGAATGCTAGTTACCCCAAAAATAGAGTTTGGGTCTAGCGTCCTCTGGCAATGGCAACTCCATCACCCTATCAGCAGTATGCTTTGACTATGGGACAACACTTACAAGGTAATACACCATTTTTACTGGTCTTAGCTAGGTGGTAGTCATAAGTAAAATTTGTCCCGGGATGGGAGTACTCTAGTATTTCTTCTTTGCTCGAAAACCCACCACCCCTCTGTGTCTGACTCTGCCTGTAGTTCAAATTTGTAATTTTTACTGACCGAAGTATATGGTGGGTAACTGAACATGGTGAATTTAGGCAGATGGTTTTTAATGTGTTAATCATGTGTTATGTGACCTTGTCCCAGATTTCTCTCTCCGCCATTGGCTGAATCACAGATTAATGCTTACAGTTCAAAATAGTCATTTTGACTGACCAGAGTCATGGTTGGTATGAACAAAGGTGTTTCTTGAATGAACTAGGTAAATAGGCGGGTTGAAAACCCTATGCCTAAGTTTAACACAGACCCTTTCTGATTTCTAACTAGGCCCAGGTTCTCACTCGACGTTTCTGATTTCTAGCCAGTCCCAGTTTACAGTAGAACTTCTGATTTCTAGCCAGCCCGTGTTTTTACATACCCTTTTCTGATTTCTAGCCAGCCCCATTTTCTCGCTAGAACCTTTCTGATTTCTAACCAATCCCAGTTTTACATATGGAGGTACATATCTTGAGACAGACATAATTTGCAGCTCGTATTTATTGATAAAATAGTACGATCGGAAAGCATAGACTTTTTCTGCCAGTACCAAGCTGAACAAAATGGTTATTGTTTTCCCTAGCAGCGAGATAATAGTACCATGTCACACTAATAAAAATGTTCCAGGCACTTGGCAAGAGATGGTGTTCCTTGCTGAGAGAGACCCAAGGCGGATAAGGAAAGTGGTACAAATGTGGTTGCATGATACACCATATATGTTAAGCAGAGCACTGCTATGGTAATAATGGCTCTGTTGGTAGCTGTAAGGTACAAAAACTCACGAAAAATAGAATAAGAACTGTCTTTTTACAGATCCAGGAAGAGTGGATAGTGGAAGCATATGGCATCAGATTATCGAGCAAAGCACTCTGGAAATATTGAACCACAGGGAATGAATTATTAGCTTTGGTGAATTCAGTACTTGGATTAAAGAACTTATCATTCAGATAAAAGGTAGTTGTTTGGTTGCCTGGAGAAACACCTCGCCAGGTGGATAGAATTCATTGGGGTAATATAATTTTATGTTAGTGAACAGACCAGGGAAGGTATGTGATCAATGTGGTAGACAGGGTAAACATTGTTCGAAATGCTATTCATTATTTTAATGTAGGAATCAATGGAAACTTAGATAGAACTCTCATTTGCAGCGGGTATTGAAGTAATTAAATTAGAAATAGAGCATATATAAATTGCCACAAAATGAGGCTAAATGAGCCTTCTAATTAGCCTTTCAAATTGAGAAACATGAGGAAATGCTTACAATTGCCAAATTAGTTAATTATTATACACAAATTGTAACAAGAAACTAAATTACCCTGCGCAATTTCCCAGAACATCTATGTAGTATTAATGTTTATTGAAATTTGTTAGGTAGTTCATAAGAAAAACAAACGATCACAATTGGTTAAATAATATGCAAATTAGATCGCATTTCAACTAAAATATTACCAGGTTTCTGCATTATCTCAGAGCAAATAAGTAACAAGTGTCATTGAAATATGTTGAATGGTACTCGAGGAACAAAAACAATTGTTTGGGCCATTGTTTATGCTAACTGAAAAGCGATAAACAAGTCTAGTTCAGACAGTCCTGATGTTGATTACAAATCACATACAAACTTACACAAAATGTTGTATTGTTTCATGTTTTTGTGTGAAATTGACTTAGGTATCTTCTGCATTGCAATGAACGATGTTTTAAACTCAGGTGGGTCTACTACTGAGAACGGAACATCATGTGTCACCACGCATGCACAACCATTGTATTTGGCATCCTCTATCATCGTTATCACGTGATCACCTATCACATATGGTCTGTAAAATAACACAATAATATATCAAATGTATATATATATATATATATATATATATATATATATATATATATATATATATATATATTAAGCCAGTTGATTGAGTTGTTTATATTCTGATGCACCATGTACCAACATCTAATATACAGCTGAAAACAATTATTCAGCATCTGATATCTGAGACAGTCATAATAATAAAATAACTTTCATGATAAACAATTTCTCACTTCCCAGTTTGCTGGAAAGATTGAGATGATCAGTGTGAGATCAAATCAATCCCATTGAAATGGCTTTGAAAATTTTTCCGATTTAATTATTTTGAAATATAGGCAGAGACGTATTCGAAACTACAAAGTGGAATAAAAAAAACTTAAATAAAAGATGGCTTCAGAAATAAGCAATAATGCCCCACCTGCAGAGTCGACAATATCAGACTAGAACAACGATCATGTTTAATCAATATCAATGCAGAAGTTTAGGAGGTGTCATAAATTCTCCCTGTAGAAGATGTACACAAGGAATTCACTACGGAGATTGTGTCAGCAGTACAGACATCACCACATTATTAACAAAATACC